GATGAATTGTAATTAATTGTTGCCTTTTTAACGCTTCCCCTGGATTACGTGGCACACAACGAAGTCAGGGTCGCTACCGTTCTCGAGATGGGTAAGATTAAAGATACATCACGATATATTGTTCACTGATTTTCTGTGTGTGTTATAATTTATGTACAATGTGGGTAGACTGCATCCTTCACTCTTGCAACAATTTATAGATTATAAAAAGTAAAAACGTATTTAAAACTCTAAATGTAAAGCTATGATGTTGACATAGATCGAGTAATAATCATCTTGTTAAAAAGCCCTGTCTAAATTCTACTGGCTATGTATGATCACCAGATCCTAAAGTTCGATGTACATTACAGGTGATGCAACAAGACGTAAAGAAAGAAAACCCACTGCAGTTCAAGTTCCGCGCCAAATTCTACCCCGAAGACGTCGCGGACGAACTTATTCAGGAGATCACACTCAAACTGTTCTACCTCCAGGTAAGTCATTATTTGATTAGCGACACTAATACACGAGCAATAGAGCTCATTATTATAATGACAATACATTGAGAACAAATTGTTGACATCAAATTGTTTCCCGAATTATGAAAATTGTATGTACGCGCTTACGTAGTCACCATGCATAAAAACATTTTACATACATATATTTATCAAGCAGTTAATAGAATAATTCTATGTGGTAACCCACTTATGTGTGTAGACATCACAAATAAATTACAGATAATTCTGCTTGAGGGGTCAGGGCTCGCAACTTGCCATTACTTCGATTGTTGTATTTAGCCCTGCTTCCCATTGTTGACTGAGGCCTACATCTGGGTATTTGTACATTCTCCATAATTGGCCACTCTTTGCAATTTCCGTGCTCGTCCAGCCGACCCTTGAGTGGTGCGTATTCTAATAGGGTCAATCACAGAGGTCAGCTTACATGTACCTCGTTACATCAGCCCCTTTCACAGTATCGCTCTTTAGCTAAGTACCTACTTCAATTGGAATCTATTAGCAAGACTTAAAAAAGGAAATTCCAATTCGTCCATATTCATTGGTAATCGATGCGGGCGTTTTTTATTTTGATTTGGCATGGAAAAGCACCATTTCGTACAGGCTAAAAGCATCAGCAATAACAAGATTTGTAGCTATTTACAATTAAGGTAATAATAAAAGTGAATTTGCATTTTACTATAAAATATTGGTATTTCGCTCAGGTAAAGAACGCGATCCTATCGGACGAAATATACTGCCCGCCTGAGACGTCAGTACTGCTGGCGTCGTACGCAGTGCAGGCGCGGCACGGGGACCACAACCCCGCCGTGCACGGCCCCGGCTTCCTCGCCAACGACCGCCTGCTGCCGCAGCGAGTCACCGACCAGCATAAGGTACGTACTCCCGGAACACCTCAACACTAATATATTACCCAACCCGACCATGATATATGTTATCAAGGTTCAGCTACTAACAATAACTTTCTACGATACAGATGTCCCGCGAGGAGTGGGAGCAAAGCATCACGAACTGGTGGCAGGAGCACCGCGGCATGTTGCGCGAGGACGCCATGATGGAATACCTGAAGATTGCACAGGACCTGGAGATGTATGGAGTCAACTACTTCGAGATCCGCAACAAGAAGAACACGGAGCTGTGGCTCGGTGTTGACGCGCTCGGACTCAACATTTACGAAAAGGATGACAAGTCAGTACTCCCTAATATCTGACAATATCTCTCGGAGAAACTATACCACACATATTTCTAAACTTTAACTTTCTTGTTCCAGACTTACGCCCAAAATCGGTTTCCCTTGGTCAGAAATCCGTAACATATCATTCAACGACCGCAAGTTCATAATCAAGCCGATCGACAAGAAGGCGCCAGACTTCGTGTTCTTTGCTCCGCGCGTGCGCGTCAACAAGCGCATCCTAGCGCTGTGCATGGGCAACCACGAGCTCTACATGCGCCGGCGCAAGCCCGACACCATCGACGTCCAGCAGATGAAGGCGCAGGCCAGGGAGGAGAAGCTGGCCAAGCAGGCGCAGAGGTAAAATAATTCATTGTAACCGTTTTTCTCTTCTATAAAGGTGAAATTCGAGAAATATATTTCTGAAGATTGTGCTTTTAGCTAATAAAATTGATTTTGAAATTACAGAGAAAAGCTTCAGTTGGAGATCGCAGCCCGTGAGCGCGCAGAGAAGAAACAACAAGAGTACGAAGACAGACTGCGGCAAATGCAGGAGGAGATGGAACGCTCGCAGGCCAACTTGTTGGAGGCGCAGGACATGATCCGACGCCTCGAGGAACAACTCCGCCAACTGCAGGCCGCCAAGGAAGAGCTCGAGCAGCGCCAGAACGAGCTGCAAGCCATGATGCAACGCCTGGAGGAAACTAAGGTATGGTAGATGTATAAATATTATTTATACGCGTTATTATGTCGATTTATTAGAGCGACTCCTCTAAGTCACTTTCCGAGTTATTGTAAAGCATTGTAATTTTGTATTATTTGTTATTGATAAACTGTATCTATATTATTCGCACAGAACATGGAAGCGGCGGAGCGTCAGAAGTTGGAGGACGAGATCCGCGCCAAGCAGGAGGAGGTGTCTCGCATCCAGCAGGAGGTGGAGCTGAAGGACAGCGAGACGCGGCGCCTGCAGGAGGAGGTGGAGGACGCGCGCCGCAAGCAGGACGAGGCCGCCGCCGCGCTGCTGGCCGCCACCACGCCGCAGCACCACCACCTCGACGAGCGCGCCGACACCGACAACGCCTCCGACGCCGGCTCCGACAGCGGCGGCGGCGACCTGGCGCGCGGGCCCGACGACCTCGTCGACCCCGTCGCCGACCGCCGCACGCTGGCCGAGCGCAACGAGCGTCTGCACAACCAGCTCAAGGTAGCCCGCCTCCTGTCTCGACCACGTCGACGGTAATAATCACCATACTCACCTCTCTCTCGTCTCTGCAGGCGCTGAAGCAAGACTTGGCGCAGTCCCGCGACGAAACCAAGGAGACCGCGATGGACAAGATCCACCGCGAGAACGTCCGCCAGGGACGTGACAAATACAAGACTCTGCGCGAGATCCGCAAGGGCAACACCAAGAGACGCGTCGACCAGTTCGAGAACATGTAGAGCGCCGCCAGTCCGCGACGCCGGGGCTGATCCACCACCTACTACTCCAGCATATCTTCTACTGCCCACTACGAGTCCTTTCCACATAGTTGTATAATAAGATTGTAACTATTCGTTTTGTGCTCTACGCATTCATAGATCAGCTCTCGAGTCGCCACAGGTCGTGGACGACCGTATAAGAGATGTAAGCGGATAAGTTTAGCAATTATAGGTTTTACTCTATTCGCGTAAAGCTTATAATTGAGTCGCACCCTGCACGCGGCCCGACCTATTCATTATCTGAAGTGCCAAAAATGTATTTTTCAAACATTCCGTTGAACTTGACACTAATCGAGTGGTCATTGTATAAACTGGAGATTGTAAGTGGTGCGGGACGGGGTCGGGCCGCGTGCTGGGACGATCGTGATAGTACGTTGATGATCGAACGATATTTTTATATAATTTTTATACACCGTCCAGGCAATATATGTATCTTTTGCCGTCGTCAAGAGATTGTCAACTATAAAGGGTCATTTGATTCAGCGGTGCTTACATAAAGTGTGTACGAACACTCGCTTGTCGGGCGTCGTAGTCGAAACTAACTGTAAATATTGATTATTATTACTTATTAGTAATTTTATTTTAGACCGTTGTGCTATAACCTAATGATGTGAACATTCTAGGGATCACTTGCTACAGAGATGTATGTTTACGATAGCCAGATAAATCATTAAATCAAAGCACACAGAATTGTTTTTATTAATAATAATCATTTTGAAAATAATTTGGATTTTATTCATATAAAGTTAAGTATCGTACGGGTGGATCTAGTACGAGTCATATAGTCGCTGTGTGCTGCGGCTTATATTTTATTGTGGTAGTTGATTCGGTTATTATAATTTGTCTGTTGATTATTTTAGTGTTTGTCGGATGTGTGAGTGAAGGTGTGGACAGACGGGAGCCTGGCTCGCCGCTCTCCGGCCGTACCGTACCATATTGTACCGTACCGTACTACATCGTACCGTACCGCGCCGTGCCGTACCATATTGTACCGTACCGTACTACATCGTACCGTACCGCGCCGTGCCGTACCATATTGTACCGTACCGTACTACATCGTACCGTACCGCGCCGTGCCGTACCATATTGTACCGTACCGTACTACATCGTACCGTACCGCGCCGTGCCGTACCATACTGTATCGTATCGTACCGTACGCACGGGCACTGCGACACCTGTTACGTTGTTCATACATTAACATTAACGTCACGAGTTTTGCTCAAAAAATACAAACAATGTCCGAAGTGTCTTGTCCGATCGAGTAGCGGTGAAAGGGAGGGGGCGACGCCCCTTATTTATTTTTATAATCATTTATAATCTAGATGTGGGAGTTAGAGCTGCAAGTGTAATTACTATTTCCAGTTCAGTTTCAGCGGTTATCCGTCATAGTCGGTCTGTTATCCTGATATTATGTTATAGAGAGCAGCGATCGCGCGACCAATACGTTATGTACTATATTATTATAGTCTCCCGAGACAATATATCGGCCTAGAAACTGTTCCCACTTGTTCTTGAACAAAATTAATTTCAAATAGATACTAAAATGTATGCTTGTAGGGAGTATATAATTTTAAGTGAATAGAAGGCATTCCATAAGTTACAATGCGGTGGCGTCGACTTGGTTTTTATGAAAATTAAAATGTTATGAAAATATAATTGTTCGTGTTTTGTTTAATATAAGTGCCATCCGTCACATGTCCATTGTCTGAGGCCCGAGGTCCGCTGGACGAGCGGCGCCGCGGCCTTGCACCAGTATTCCGATATTTTCTTGTCATTATTTTCTTAAAATTTTACAATACCACGTTGCCTTGGATTTAATATAATTTTTTTCCAATAAAATATTTAAGTAAATAAATTATAGTGTTTTATTTATTAAAATAATTCCTTCTAATTGTCATAAAATACATTTGTGGTCCTATAATTATGTGAGAAGACCATATTTTTAAATATACTTATTGCATATAACTATATTACAAATGTTAACTGATTTACAAATCATTTGATAATGGCCACGAAATATATTATTGTATATCATTATGATTTAGATCACTTCATTAAAATAAATTTAAGCTAACATTAGAAACTTGTGCCTCAGTTTTACGACACGATCATCAGATAACGAGATCTACTTGTCTAGTATAATTATTTCATAAGGCAAAATTGTACTAATTTAACATCTGCCACTATATGATTTCATTCACATATCGATAACCGATATGTATTAAGTTGTGATTTAGCGAGCTGAATGATTTGGCACATCATGTAATTAATACACGGATAATTCGTAACAACCGAAATCTGAACTCACCTTAAGAACTACGAATCAAGTCAACGCATTTCGATGGCTAGGCTACCGAGAGATTTCCAACTGTCACAGTCTACGGCTTGGAAAGTTGCTGACGATTAGAATGCACTGAGACGCGTCCCTCGCAGCACGTCGGCGCATCAAGTGGGCGGCGCGTGGCTGGCGCCGCGCAGGTGGCGCATCAAGTGGGCGGCGCGTGGCTGGCGCCGCGCAGGTGGCGCATCAAGTGGGCGGCGCGTGGCTGGCGCCGCGCAGGTGGCGCATCAAGTGGGCGGCGCGTGGCTGGCGCCGCGCAGGTGGCGCATCAAGTGGGCGGCGCGTGGCTGGCGCCGCGCAGGTGGCGCATCAAGTGGGCGGCGCGTGGCTGGCGCCGCGCAGGTGGCGCATCAAGTGGGCGGCGCGTGGCTGGCGCCGCGCAGGTGGCGCATCAAGTGGGCGGCGCGTGGCTGGCGCCGCGCAGGTGGCGCATCAAGTGGGCGGCGCGTGGCTGGCGCCGCGCAGGTGGCGCATCAAGTGGGCGGCGCGTGGCTGGCGCCGCGCAGGTGGCGCATCAAGTGGGCGGCGCGTGGCTGGCGCCGCGCAGGTGGCGCATCAAGTGGGCGGCGCGTGGCTGGCGCCGCGCAGGTGGCGCATCAAGTGGGCGGCGCGTGGCTGGCGCCGCGCAGATGGCGCAGTAGAGAGCTCTTGTCGCGGAACTGGCGCGCGCACGCCCCGCACTCGTACACGCGCCCCTTGTGCATCATCATGTGGCGGCTCAGGCCTGCGGGCGCGACGGCCAGTACGTTACGTCACGGCAAGTGAAGTGCTATTAAACTTGATCATACAAGGGTCAAATTACATAAGCACTTTAATTAAGACTTAAAACGACATAGGTTACTCGAAACAATACAAAGAGTAATGTGCTCCATATTAGTACTTGAAGCCGAATTATCAATAGCCGTACAAAATTATGTATCGTCCTTTCGTACGAAATATGTACATACCGGAGGAGTGTAGGAAGACCTTGGGGCACCTGTCGCAGCGATGCAGCGCCAGCGGGCGCGCGGAGGGCGGGGCGTGCGCGCGCGCGTGTGCGTCCAGGGCGCCGCGCTGCGTGAAGCTCTTGTCGCACGATGGACACGCGTATGGGCGCCGCTCTAATGGAGGCAGGAACATTGCACGTCATTAGTAAGCATGGCAGGCATTCAAACCTAAATTAAAATTACTTTGACTGCGTTTAAGGGTACATACACCAGTACCGAGTCACTAGACTCTGTCACTAACAGGAAAAACAAAGACCACCGGAGACAGTCAAGTCAGAGGTTGTACTAGAAAGCTGATCATTGTCATGATTATGATATGATTACGTATACATAATAATATAGGTAACACCTGAGTGTCAACTAAAGTATACATACCTTCATGCACCAGTAGATGTCGTAGCATGACCTCTCTCTGCGCGAAGCGTCGGCCACACATATCACAAGTGAAGGGTTTCTCCCCTGAATGGATACGCATGTGACGAGTGAGCGCACTCTTAGAGGCGAGGCGCTTGCCACATTCCTCGCACCACGACCCAGTGTTAATCAGTTTACTGGAATAATAGGTAACATTTGATATTACATGGCGATCTTCTCACTGGTAGGGTAATAAATATCCATTCTAGAGGTTCTACCTCGTGTGTTCATAAGTTTGGAGACAAACTTTTTGCTTATAAAAATAAAATAAAAATTACTTGCTGCTGTATATTTCTTTTTCTAATTTTGAATTTGGAATGTTAACTTTTAATATCTATGATTTCGGCTTATTTTATTTAAATTTTCTCGTAATGGAGGGAACAAAAGAATTACGTGCGACCGTCATTTCATTATTTAAGGTGGGCAGAAAACCTATGGACATTTTCCGAGAACTGAAAAGTTTTGGTGTGAGCCGTAACTTCGTGTATTACACTATTAAACGATACCAGGAGACAAGTTCTTTACATGATCGGCAAAGAAGTGGTCGTCCACGCTCTGTGAGGACGCCTGCGAACATTAAAATCATCCGAGAGCGACTTCGCCGAAATCCATGTCGCACTCAGAAGAAACTCGCTCTGCAGACCAATATTTCGCGCGTTTCAGTCAACTCAAGGTTAAGGCGTATAGCCGTAGAGAAGTACACTTTTTAAACGATCGCCTTCGTCAATTGCGACGCGAACGTTGTCCAATACTGCTTAGGAGACACGATGCGAGGAAGATACTCTTCACCGACGAGAAAATCTTTACCGTCGAAGAAAAGTTCAATCGACAAAACAATAAAGTGTATGCCAAAAGTAGCAAGGATGTCCCACCTTCAGCACGGAATGTCTCGCGTACTCATCATCCGGCTAGTGTCATGGTATGGTGGGGAGTTTCGTACGAAGGTGTCACTCAGCTTCATTTCTGCCAACAAGGCGTCAAGGTGAAAGCCAAAAATTATCAAAGTGACATTCTAGAGACTGTTGTGAAACCCCTGTCTAATACCCTATTCCATAACAAGTATTGGGTTTTCCAGCAAGACTCGGCGCCATCCCATAAGGCTAAAACCACCCAAGCTTGGCTGAAGGAAAATGTGCCGGCCTTCATTGCGGCGAACGAATGGCCCTCCTCCAGCCCCGACCTCAACCCGCTGGATTATTCTCTATGGACCGAATTAGAGCTCAGAGCCTGCCGAAAGTCCCACCCAAACTTGGAGTCACTTAAGCGAGCTCTTGTCCGAGAAGCGAAGCGAATTCCTCTGGAAAAGATTCGTGCCGCCATTAATGACTGGCCAAATCGTCTAAGAGCATGTATTAAAAACAGGGGTGGTCATTTTGAATAATAATTATATTTCATTTTTACTTACTATCTACTTAATGTTTGTTATTGTTTTTATAAATATAAGTTTATTATTTAAAAAGATATGCAACTTTTAATTTGTCTCAAAACTTATGAACACACGAGGTAGAAGAATAGGTATATGCCTCATTCAAGATATTATAGACAAAGGTCAGGTATAGGTGGAGCACTCTGAAGTTAAAAGCTCTGAATAGTCTTAACTCATTGAAATAATAACTAATAGTACTTACTTCTTCTTGTCACCTTTTGCATCTTTCTTGGTAACTGTACTAGTTACAACATACTTTGTTATAATATCTTCTTGTTTGATAACATTTTCTTCTTTTATTGTGCTTGGCGCCTCATTTTTGTCTATCGGTTCTTGTGGCTGCAAATTAGAACCAAAGTAGTTATTAACGGAGAACTTTAAACTTAAGCATCAAATTGAAAATTGTGATATCTTTCCGATGTGAATAAAAGAATAGTGAATTCCAATTGGATTTTACATGTACACAATTATGGCTATAATTGTAATAGGCATTGAATAAAAGGAAGAAATGTTTGTAGTATTGTTGTAAAACCTACAAATATACTGTAGTTACAAGATAGGGTATGAAAAAATATTACTAACTTCTTTTCTACCAAATAATAGTCATCTAATTATCTAATACTATTTTATAATGCTGAACATTTAGAAGCGCTGTTTTCCGGAACTACTGGTTCAATTTGAATAATTCTTGTTGTGTCGGACAGTGCATTTATCGAGGAAGGCTACGGCTATAAAACATCACGCTGCGATCAATAGGCGCTGACCAGAGTGAGTGAAGCCGCGCGGAAGTAGCTAGTAGTATTAAGTCACAAAATCCGACCTGTTCCTGTTCCTCAAGATCATCTTCCTCCATCAATTCCAGTGTAATCTGACTCCCGTCTCCAGTCTCCAGCTCCAAAGACTTGATATTCTGATTGGTCAACTCCAGAACATTATCTTGTTGCGTCAGTATACCCAGTTCTAATAACATTGTTGACAAGAATGTATTAATGTCAGGCTTTGATGATTCTAAGTCTTCTGGTTGCTGGAACATATAATCTTTGTTATAGCTTGTTGAACATAAATTAGCCATATGTTTTCAATAGGCACTTTTGAAACAATAACATTTGAATTGTCCATTACTTTGTGTCAGTAAAGCTAAGACTTGAGTAGAATAAATGATTGAATGTCATAATGAAATAGAAATTATTCTATACTAGCTTCTGCCAGTGGCTTCACCTGCATTCCTGTGGGATAAAAAGTAGCCTATGTGTTATACCAGACCTTAATCTATCCCTGTGTCAAATTTCAACCCAATCCCTTCAGTTGTTTTTATGTGAAAGAGTAACAAATACACCATCACATACTTTCCCATTTTTAATAATAGTATGATTAATAATTAATAGAATTAAATCTGAAATTAAATATTTGTTTGCATTCCACTTCCTTTTTCGACAAATCCTTTACAGTACAAGCAGCTCGGTTGTGGAATGCTTTACCGATAACAGTGAGGCGAGCTCAAACTATATCGCAATTTAAAAAACTTCTTAAAGAGCATTACCTCTCTTTATAATTTTATTTCCTATCTTAACCAGACACCTACACACACACACACACACA